GCGGGGCCGGCGGCAGCAGCTGGAACGGCTGCTCTCACCCACCGGTGGGGAACGAGCGCGGGCTGATAGCTTGGACTCATCCCAGCTCTCGGAGCCCTCTGAGGAAGGTGAGGGGAGGGAGGGTGGGCAGGGAAGGGGAGGGGAGGCCGCCGGGACCTGACCCGGCCTCTCCCCCCACCCCGGTGCCCAGAGGATGCAGAGATAGAGGTGGACGGCCTGGTATTTGGTGGGGACCTGCTGCCTGGCTTCAGCACGGGGAGGGACCACAGCTACTCCAGCCCCCGCGGCCCCGCATCCTGATGGTGCCCGCTGCCTTCCCTGCACTGCCTGCCTGCCTCCTCCCTGCCTTCCGCTGCTGGAAACGCAGCCTCTGCCGGCCTCGTCGGGGCTGCCCGGGTAAGGGGCCACAGGTGGGGGCAAGAGCCCAGCTTGGCCCCTCTGCTGCCGGGCCGCTGAGCAGCACCGGTGACAGCACTGGGCGCACCTGTCCTGCTGGCAGGACACCGTGGCACCCGCTGTGCACCACAAGAGGTGCTGGAAGAGGGCCTTGGCTGTCATGGGGACACCCTCCCACCTTCCCCGCATGCCCCTGGGCAGGCTGGGGGCCGGGGGCTGCCTGGCACGGGTGTGGGGCAGCGCTGCCCCCAGCAGACATGGTTACAGGACGGCTCCACCGCCCCCGGACAGGCACAGGAAAGGGAAACGAGTGCATTAAGCAACCTGCCTTCATGCTCCTGCAGCTGCCCGCCCCCCCCGTACATACCCAACACTATTCTAGTAAAGGCACTTGGTGAAACCCCTGCCTGCATCTTGCCTGCGAGCCCAGGCCCCCAGCAGCGGGCTGGACCCCCGGAGCAGAGGGCAGCGCTGGGCTCTGCTCTAGCCAGGCCAGCCCTGCCCAAAGCAGAGGTGGGAGTAGATTCTTTAATGATAATTACATCTCCGAAAGGGTCTAACAGCAGCTGATTGTCAGACTTGTACAGTTTGTTTAAAAATATAAAATCTAAGGAGGCTCCTATCTGTTCTGGTGCAGCCGGCGCCTGCCTGTGCCCGGCCCCTCACACGTACTGCTTCTTCTTGGTGGCTGCCTTGCTCGCCAAGTCCTTGGCTTTCTCCGTAGCAGCCAGAGCTGTCTCCTTGGCTTTCTCGGTTGCTTCCTTGGCTGTCTCCACCAGTGTTTTGGACGGAGCTTCTCCTGTAACATGGAAGCTGTTAACCCAGCCCCAGCGGGCCCCTGCCCTGCCCCGTCACAGGAGTGCCGGCTGACGCAAGCTAGACCAGCCCCGGCCCCGTCACCTCGGGACGGAGGCGATTTCCCCACACAGGGGGTGGCCCCGTCACCTTGGGACGGAGGCGATTTCCCCACACAGGGGGAAGCCAAGCCCGGCACTCCTGCCCTGTGTGTGTCAGGGCATGTCACGATGGGGAACCACAGGCACGTGACTGCTGCCGTATTATGTCCCCCTCCTGCCTGCACTCCGCCCCTGCCCTGCCCTGCCCTGCAAGTGCTGCCTGGCTGCTCCGCTTGGGAAGAGCTGACTGTGCCAAGACATGGGGGCAAAGGCAAGGGACAAGGATTTCACAGTCAGATTAGTTCAAGCCACGACCTGCCCGTGGACTCGAGTGTTCCCCATGTGACCTGTAACTCCAAGAGACCCCTCCCGCTCAGCTCCAGCCTGCCCTCGGGTGCTCACCTTGCATTCTTGCTAGCACATACTCAAATCCCTTAGTGCTCTTGGTCACGTTGCTTTTGAACCTGGCCAGACCAAATTCCTGCAACGGAAGAATCGGTGAAGGTGCGAGACCAGCTCCCTGGTCACACGCAGCCCCTGGGGCTTTGTCCCAGCTTGACCAGTCCCAAACGTATGGTGGGCTCATGCCCACGAGCAGTGATGGTTCCGAGTGCCCCAAGAGCTCAAGAGGATGGGGGGAACGAGGGAAAAGGGTGGAAAAACCAGCACAGGGAAGGGGTAGAGCAGGGGGGAGCAGCAGCTTTAAGGCCTCTCCAAAGAGGGGGTACACAGTGCTGCTCGAGCAGTTGGCAGTCCTCACCTGGACGGCCCGTGAGACACCAAACAGGCTGGAAGAGACCCAGGCTTCGCGCTTGACCTCAGTCCAGTTGCTGTTCTCCGGGTTCACCTGGTATACACAGCGCTCCTCCACCACCTGCACGAGGCACAACCTGGCTGTGGGCGCTGCCCGGTGCCTGCCACATGGCCGCATGCCGGCCCACGGGCACCTACCATGAGACGCACGTGGTTGATGTTCCAGGTGAATGTGGTCATGGTTCGGTTCTTGGGGTCCACGATAGAGTCCTCCAGGATGTAGACGGAGTGGGCGACGTTGGCCGGGAAGAAGCGCTCCGCCCAGCGGGGCATCCGGTTGGTCTTGGTCAGGAGCCGCCGGGAGAGCAGCTTGTGGTCCGCTGTCACCTCCCGGTGCACGATGTCTTCGGTCAGGACATGTTTGCTAAAATGGGGAGGGGGAAGAAAACATCAGACCCTGCTCCTGGCCAACACCTTCCCGGGGCTGGGAACCATCGGGCGGGTGGGGGGGGGGAAGAGGAGAGG